GCGGGGGGGGGGGGGGGGGGGGCCGGGGCCCCCCCCCTTTTCCCCCCCCCCCCCCCCCCCCGCGTTCTTGGGCATCTGGGTGAGGAGGCTATGGAACATGGGGAGGAGGGTAGACGGTTATACAGTGGATGCAGCAGGGGTCTGTGCTCTTGTTGGCTTTCCTGCAGCTCCAACAGATGCTTCATCATGTCCGTTTGCTCCCCCATTAGCCTCAGCATCGCGTCCTGCCTCCGCTCTTCATGCTCACTTAATTCTTTCCTGGCCTCTGCCGCTGAATGCCTCCATGCATTAAGCTATGCCCTATCAGTGCGGGAGGACTGCATGAGCTCGGAAAACATGTCATCACAAGTGCGTTTTTTTTCGCCTTCTAATCTGCGATAACCTCAGGGACGGAGATGATAGGGGGAGCGTAGAAACATTCTACGCGCTACGATTCTGGGGGGACTGTATGGTCACCTGTGCTGCTGAGTTCGCCACGCTGACCAAACAGGAAATTAAATTTAAAAGTTCCTGGGGCTTTTCCTGTGTACCTGGCTAGTGCATAAGAGTTCAAAGTGCTGTCCAGAATGGTCACAATGGAGCACTCTGGGATAGCTCCCGGAGGCCAATACCATTGATTTGCGTCCGCACTACCCCAAATTCGACCCAGCAAAGCGATTTTAGCGCTACTCCCCTTGCTGGGGAGGCGTACAGAAGTAGATTTTAAGAGCCCTTTAGGTCGACGGCATGGGATTGGTTCTGGGGACGCATTCATTTTTAAATCGACCTAACGTGGCAAAATTCGACCTAACCCCATACTGTAGACTAGGCCCTAATGTTACTTCTTAGTCATAAGGGAAATTAATTAAAGAAATTATATTACAAGCACCCTATTTGTATATTTTTATATGTAAAGACTTCATAAAGATTCTGATTTGATGTGAACTGTGCCAAAAAATTAAAACATTTGAAAAACCATAGAGGTTGCTTTTTCAGTTTTAATGAACTAGTTTCTCTGTAGTGCATATTTATGTATGTATGTCAAGGGCCTCTAATTAATCAAAAATAAATGCAAAAACATAATTAAGATTAACAATGACTTTTTATTGCTGAAACAGTTGTATAAACAGCATATCTAATATTTAGCAGAATATATAAAATAGCTGTTTTTATCAAATGCCATTTTAAAACAAGTAGTTGGGGAAAAGCAGTGTTTGGGGGGGAAATACTTTAGCGGTAAATTATGAAATTCATCTCTGTTCAACTGGAATCTACAAAATGACCAAATCCTAGTTATTCCTCATTTTCATTTGGTAAACAGGGATAAACAGAATGCAAACTCTAAGTGTGGTTACATTAATTTGAAGCACTGCACATAAATGTCATCTCCATAATTAGCCAATCACGATAACACTAAATTACTTAGCATTAGTTTGACTTATCAATGGTTAAGAAAGCATAGAAAACAGCGAGTCTTGCCTTTGCAAATATGTAGGCTTTGTGTTGGTAATGTAAGCAGATGGAGCTTTGTACAGTACCTACCACAGATAAATTCCAGGATTACCCTCTGCAATTAATAATTAGTTTTTAAGGCAGTAGAAATATAGATTAAGCTGTACTTTTTACATTTTTTCTATAAATAGAGAAGTACATTTATCAATCTGATGCACCTTTAAAAAAAACCTGTAGTTGGCACATAATTCCATCACCTAAAGGCATTTATGTAATATCAACCATACTTCTTGGGATAGAATTGAATTGATAAGTGTTATGCTGCAATAGTTCTTTTCATTTTGATGTGTCATATTCTATAAGGGGCTTGACTTGATTCTGTATGCACACATTGTAGCAAAGTGTGAAAAATGGTTGTTTTTTCTGCTCCTTATAATGAGTGAAATTCATTCCATGGATCAGGCCAACTCAATGCCTATACACCACTTAAATCCTACTTAAGACTTATTTGGAGGGCTTAAATAGTACCACTGGTACATAGGCCTTGTGCTGTTTTACTACATAGAGGGAATTTCACATTCTATGAACGTACATTCCTCACAAGATTACTTATATCCATTCTCTTATCTTGATAATTCATTAATCACAATTAAATCCAGATGTTATATAATATATATAGTCTGTGGGACAAATGTTGATCTCAGTTACATTGGTGTTGATCTGGAAATTAATTTACATTGGTGTAACCAAGATCAGAATTTGGTAATTTGTGAATATATATATTTACACGTGCTATCAGCAAATGTTTGTGTACATTCTGTATATAGATAGGCAATTGGCATTTTTCATACTTCCCAAAATATTTCCAGTTTTCTCTTTTGTATTTCCCTCAAAATACTTCCTTATTCTCTCAATGCCTGGCTGGAAATTGCAAACTTCTTTGCATATAAATTGGAAAATTTCATTTTCTGTCTTTTTCAGTTCTCAGTGATAATTCCATATAAGATTTGTATTTATATTTCCCATTTAATCTTACAATACCTGTTACTTAGTTTGCTACTTTTCATTGTGGTGCGAGACCTGATATTGCCTTGTCACCTTTGCTTTTATTTTATTTTCTCATTAATTTTGTCTTTTATATCCTCAAGCCTAGGCCCATCCTCAGCACTCCCACTAGGAGCTGAGTGGGTCGTTTGAGGACAGGCTTGCAGCTGCCTTCTACAATGTCTGCACCAGGACAATTTGCCACCCACAATCTACACTGCTGAGGGCCCCTTTAAGACATTCTGTCCCTTTTACTTGACCTAGAGGGGAACTGATGGAAGGGATGATCTCACTCCAATGAGATGTTGACTACTGTTAAGGTGAACACCAGGTTCTGACTGATACAAGGGTAAGCCCGCTATTTACCTTGAGGGACAATGAATGTTGACTATGACAAAATATTAAGTCACTTTTATGTGTTGATACATGCAATCTGAATATTTTCATCCGGAATATATCCTTTTTATAGCCATTCTTTTCTTATGTTTATCTTTTTTTTCTTTTACAACTTAACAAGAAATGAATTTATAGGGTCTAGATACGTTATTAGCCTCAGTTGAGCCATCAGGAAGCAGAAATTAGTAAATGTTACCTCATAAATTCAGAGGTAAATAAATTTTTTTCCAATTAATTTAGCTGCAGCTAATCAAAGTGGGGTGTTTTCATGACTAATACATAATTAGCAATCAAAAATATATATTAGGTCATGTTACTTATCTCTCTACCAATTCAGGATTCTGTTGTACCAGAAATTTGTTTTCTTCAGTGCTGTTTAAAGTTAATCAGGTAGTAGCATCTCCACCTCATTTGGTAGGAGGCTGATGCATAGTCTGATATTTCAGACTGGACATTTTTTTCTGATATTTAGCCTTGATTTTTCTGCTTCGTGGGACATTTGCTTCCATGGTTTCAGTGTTGCATTAGATTCTGGTTCTTACTGCGAAGTGTTTCTATGAGAACTTTCATCATCATCTACAATTTAACACTCTCAATGCCTTTTTTGTATTGGAGCATGATAGATTTTAGGGTTGACTTTAAAGTTCAAGCATCTTATCATTTGTGATATTAATCTAAAATTCCTTTTTCACCTAGAATTGATGAACAATTTGTATGTATGGATAGCGAAGTGAAAAGTAACATATTTTTTCCATACCATGGTCTTTTCTTTTCTTTCCTTGGGGTTTTTTCAGCAATGTACTGGGCAGAGTGTACTTTCCATGAAGCCATATAAACACAGTATATAAAGGGAACACGTTGGCTGTTAAGTCAGCCTGACTTTTAAATGAATTCCTTTTCAAAATCCCCTCTATATAATGTGGAAATAACTCATGATCCATATACTATAATTGCCTTCAAAAGATATAATTTTGACACTAAAAGTAATTAATAGTCCTGCAGTGTAATGTAAACATAGTGTGAGAATATAGAGATGAGATATTTTTTCCAAAGAGTGAGGAATCTCTTAAGTGTGATTGGGGTCTATACCACCAAAGAAGAGAGGAAAACAGTTGAAGGATCCATCTCTATTCTGGACAGCTACTTAAGCACTTTCCTAATCAGGGCCTCAGTTTTCTACTCTTCTGTGCTGTGTCAATGACTTTACTGCTTTGTTATTATACTCCTCCTTTATTTTGTCCTAAGATATGTTATTGCAACCTCCCTGTCTTTTCCCACTCATTTTGTTCCCCCACCCCGTGAACCTCTTCTTACTAAGTTAATTACCCTCCCACTCATAGTCTTTCTGTTCATCACCTTCTTGTACTGAAATTCTGTAGTTTTCTCCTTATTGTTTGGATTGGTGTATTTCTTCCATTGTCACTCTCATACCATTATGGCTCTTCCTCTTTCTGATGTTTTGCTCTCACCTTTTTTTCCATTATAAAACCCTTTAAGAATGGCTATAATTGCCTTTACAATATTATCTTCTCTATTTGGTGTCTTTTCTATTTGTCTGTTTCTGTCTTTCCTGTCCCTTGCCCCCAAATCCCAATAGGAATAGTTAGATAGGAACAGACCAATGCTTCAACTTGTGCAGTTTAAAGGCTCCCATAATGTACCAGGCAGTTGTGCTATAGTATAACATGGGAGCAAACTTCTGAATGCTATTTTTTTTAAACATTTAACCTTTCCATCTACTATGTTTCCGTCCCTCCTCACCATCACTTTGAATCTGACAGAAAAGAACAAAGAAAGAACAACTGAATGCTTCATGGAGAAAGCTGGAAAATAAGTTATATTTGCAAGTAGTTTTGAACTCACATTTTCTATTTTTTCCCCTCTTCCCCCATTCTTAGTAATAGGAACATTTTATAGGAATGACAGTTTTTTTTTAAAATATTCTCTGCATATTGTCCTATCAGAAAACAGATGTGGCATGATCTCTGCAGCAACTGCTTATGAGTATTTGAGGCCAAATTCACTCCTGTTGTAAAGCCACAGAAGTCAGAGTTGCACTGTTAAGTTGGCTCTGATTTCAGATGGGGAATAAGCAGGAGAATTAAAAGCAGAGACCCTGTGTTCATGGAAGTAACACTAAAAACAACTGGGGAAAGAAGAATGCCTGCTCATCTTCAGACCTCCCCCCACCCCCAAAACACCCATTTACCATGAAATACAGACTTATTCATGACCCATTAGCAGGTCTTGAAATTTAGTTATTAGGGCCCTACCAAATTCACAGCCATGAAAAATGCACCATGAACTGTGAAATCTGGCTATTGTAGGGGAGGAGGGCTCCTACCATGTGCTGGGCTCCAGCTGCTAGTCCCAGCTGGACGCTGGAGGGTCTTGTTCTTCCTCTGCAGGGGCTGTTTCTGGGTCAGATCAGACCCACCTCCAGGAATCTCCCCTGGCTGCTGGAAGCGCCACAGCTGCACTGCCTTCAGAGCTGGGCTCTCAACCAGCAGCTGCAGAGCCTGCAGCCATGGGAGGTTGCCGGGGTGGGTCTCACCCAGCCCCCAAAGTGGCCTCTGCAGGACACGAGGAAGTCCCATCCCTCCCCAGCCTGGCCGGGACAAGCAGCTGGAGCCCAGCACATGGTAGGAGTCCCCAGCTAGGGTGCCCCCAGCCCTGCACCTTCCCAACTCCAGCGCCTTATGGCCCTTGGTGGTTGCCAACCCATAAGGCTGGCCCTTACCCCCTCCCCTCAAAGTGATGACTCCCCCCATACCCTGCGACCCTCACTTCTGTGCTGGTGCTGGCACTGGCTTCAAAGCTCTCTGGCTGCCCAGCTATGAAGGTAGCACAGAAGTAAGGATGGGAATCCTGTGACCACCCATGGCTCCTTTTTGGTTAGGCAGGCCCAGGGTTACAAAACTCTGTTTCAGGTGTTCACATGAGAAATTTACTATTTTTAAAATCCTATGAACATGAAATTGATCACAATGGACACTGTATTTGGTAGGGTACTAGTTCTTATGGACAAAAAACTGCAAGTTAGAGAATTGCCAACCAGCTGGAATAAGTAATACTGCTTGAACATCGGTAGATGCCTTTGACCATTTTAACTGTCGTCCCCTGTTTTTGACAATATACATTGTCTAATATTATTTGCAGTATTACATATTTTTACTACAGTCAGATTTTAAAATGATCATTTTATGTCAAACTGACATTTCTTCACTTCGGTAACATGTTTTATTTGATTAAAATTATAAACTGGAAAGAGTTAAATATAACTTCCAGTAACCAGTAAATTGTCTGTTAGCAAAACAGAGCTTGTTTTCAAGTTTCTTCATTTTTGTTCAAACCTCGGACGAACACTTCTCAGTATGATACGCTCAGCAACTCAATACGCTGTGTGTGGCTTTGCTCATTAGGAACTATGTAGTTGGATTTTATTTCTGCTTTTGTATGAAGAAATTAAACAGCATGTGCTCCTAGATTCAAACAGGAATATTACTTTAGTTATGTGGTGAGAGCTAGATCAATATAGATTTTAACACTGGTATCTAATATGGACACTAGGAACATTCTGGGCTGCTTAAAAAGTTTGAGAAAAAGTCTGCAGATGGACAGTCTTTGTTTCCTGTATTCCATGTTTGGTAAGGTTTTATTGTTCTTTTCCACTGCTATTTGAAAGACTCTCTGTAAAATGTAACTTTTTTCTTTCCGCCATAGTCCTCAGCACCTGGGGAGGGACAACATCCCACTGCAGGTTGTATATTCCTTTTCTTTTTCTTTTTGAAGGGGAGAGGATATTGTTCTTTCACAGTGGCTGAATTAGCCCTAGTCTATCTTAAATCTTCCCATCACCACATTTTAAATGCTAAATAAAAATGAGTGCATCTACAAGGTGCCAAATTCACAGTGCTGGAGCCTGAAGTTCACATCTACAGGTATCACAGGTACATACTGATAGGCTCCCACACATTACATTGCCAATGTTCCTGTTCATGGACATAGTAGAATCACCCTTGTGGAGTACAATACTCCTGCTTGTTCACTCCTTTGCCTCTTTATTGAGGCTGTCAACAAGAATGCCAGTCAGAGCCAATTATGGGTTGTTTTCTGTGTAGCATTGACATCTGTGCTAGAAATTTGCCTTTCCCATCAATTTCACACAGACCACTGAACAGCCCTCAGCTGGCAATAGTTACTATGGACCTGGGCTGGCTTTTTGTTCAGTGACCTAGATGAAAAAGGCTCCATAGCCCATTATGAATCTCCATAGCCATCTTGTCATCCTCCCAATCATGATTTTTAAAAAGCAGTCTCTGCAACTCAACAATATTAGAGAAACAACTTCAGTAAACCAGAGACACCTGAGAAATCATGAGGAATCACATAAATCAGACAGGAAATTCTGGGTGAAATGGATATGTTGGTGTCAGGATTAAAAATTTGAAGTGGAAAATGCTTAGTATTAACTATGCCCCTGAATTGGAACAGGGATTTGAACCTAACTCTCCTACATTCCAGATGAGTGCCCTAATCTCTGTGTTGGTGGGTATTCTGGGTTGGGTTTTTCAAGCAGTTCTGTTGAAGCTGGAGAATGCCTGGGTTGAGAATCCCAGGAGGGCTTTGGCTTGGGTTGCTCAGAAGCCTCACTCATTAGCAGTGGGGCAACATCAGGGCTTTGCACGTGCTGACTGGTAGAAACTCAGGCACCTGCAGGGCTAGACAGAAGCTGAGTGGTGGTTTTCAGAATGCCAGTGGCACCTAAATGTTGGAATCCTAAGTACCTTTGTGAATGTAGCTTTTAGTAACTTGGGACCAAAATCTGTTTGCTTTATTCATCTGAGTAACATAACCACTTTTGCAAGGTGAATAGATTTGGCTCTGATTTAGGGTTTGGCTCACCTTTAGTTAGATTGAGTAGGACCTTACTGTCGCTAGTAATTTCTACTCAGGGAATGAGGTACTATTGTTGGTATTGGTAGCAGGATCAAGCACTTTATGTCCAGATTTGCAAGGGTGCTTAGCATATTGGGTGCACACGTGATGATGCTCTTCACAATCTGCCCATTAGTGATTTCCATTTACTACCGCTAGCAGAGTAATATTTTTATGCTAAGAGTGAAACATGTGTTGGACATTCTTTATGCTGCTTATTGATAATAGCTTTTTAGTATAATATTTTGATGTACTTTATATACATGTACATAGGCTTGAGGAAAATCATTTTGATAGTTGATGGATTCAGAAGACGTTTGAAAAAATCATAATCAGTCCAAAACCTACTTTCCTTGATAGCCTCAGTCCATCCAGGCGGACAATGTGTGAACTTGAAGGTACATTTTGTTGTAGGACTATTTTTCTTCAGATTTTTTTGTTATGGTTACTTAAGCTTGCTGTGCATTTTATGTTTTTGCTGCTTTGTAGTTTCCTCATTTTCTTGTCCATGATCTGGTTGAGAAACAAACAGTTGTCTGGCGATTGGTAGCTATGTGGGCAAAATCCATACTTGGTGTGAAATCCTGGCCCCTTGAAGTCAATGGCAAAACTTCCATTAAAATCCTGATAGAAGTCTGAGAGATAAACAATGTAAGTTACGCATCAGGTGTCATGTAGTTAACTACTCATTACTAACATTGCACTAATTCATCAAAGCATATGTTAAGTCCATACTTAAGTGCTTTCTTGAACCTGGGCCTCAGTAGTGATTCAACCCAAGTCTAAAATATGAGAGTAGCAGAAAAACAAGAGCATGTTTAAATAAAATAGTGGAGACCTACTTTATCTTACACCTGTTAGTTGCTTCTCCTGTTATACTCCCTGTCACCCTCTGTTGTCAGTTGTACTTGTTTTTCACAACCATTAAATGTAAAATTGTTGCAAGTTTCATTGTTTTGTTACTTATAGCCATTATTTCAGATATGGGACGCTTTACATCACAAATGAATTCATCCTGAAATTAATCCTTATAGGATCCATGTTTAGAGTTCTGAAACGATTACTATAATCAAAGTCACAATTTCATATTCTCTTCCCAGTTATACCAGTGAAGGCCCACTGGAGATGCACCAGAATAACTGAGAAGAGAAATTGGCCTACTTTTGCACATATAATAAATTTAGCACATTCTTTTAAAGCTTATACCGTATATTTTCAAAAGGTAGAACTTCAAAGTACCTGAAATATGTGATTGATTTGCTGGCTATTTTCTGGCCACACATCTATTATTGTTGCCCACCACAAATAAAGTCATGATAAAACTAAAACGGAAATGTTTTAGGCATGGTGCATGTACACAATAGGACAGGCGACCGTACCATATTTTAATCTGTATCTATATAAAACATTTATTTTAACCTGCATAATGGGATTATATAAATACATAGAATATTTGATAGTGTACACTCAGTGCACTCACCGTGAAAATAAAACATTAAGACAGGATTTTTTTATGTCCAAACTTTTTTTAAATATATGTATTTCTTTGTCTTGCAGTATTACATTACTATGAAAAACAAAATACCAGTATGATGATCTTTTCTCCTCACCAAAAATATTCCTATTACAATTAATAATCTTTCCCAGGCTTATCTAGGGTTTTCACCGCAGTGAAGTATTTTATAAAAACATCATAGTACTTTGATTTGTAGATTCCCTAGATTTGTTTGCATTCATGTCTAGTGCACATAGCTTGTCGTTCAATTCTCCAAGTGCCTTCTTCGTAAGTACAGTGACATATAGTGCATTCATCAGTCTTCACCTCTCGGCCAGCTGGAATGACAGTGGTTTCGGCAAAGCAGTTTGGGCCTAAAAAAAAAAAAATAATAATAATTATATATAAGCTGTATTGGAGCATAATATATTTAGTTTTTGCTCCTTAATACTGCAGACCTAGTATAAAATTAGTAACAAAAAGTATGTTACTTTTAATGTCATTTAGTTTTGATTTTAAAAACAGGATATTTAATTAGAAAAGGGAATGAGAACCAGTTATTCTTTGTTTGTACTGGGGGTTTGTATGCACATTTCCCCTCCATTCAGGAATATGTATAGGTGTGCTAGTTGTACAGTATTTTGTAGTGAGATCATACACAGCCATGATAGACATCTGGGCAGAGTCTTTTCCTGTAGATAAATACAGATTTCAGATGTGAGAAACACTCCGTATTGTCCAGAAAGAGTAGAACACTATAGCATCGCTACAGGTTATCAAGCATTTTACTTTAGATTTTACTGCTTCTTCCACTGGAAACATGTTTAGAATATACTATAATATTTGTAAAGTATCCAAGCTTTATTTTGTGTTAGCTGAGAAAATATTTCTTGTCTCCATTATAACAGCATAATTTAAATCTGTACCGCCCCCTATGCACTCTATATATTGCTACGTTAACCAGCAATAAGCAAAGCACCCTTTTTTAGGGTATGTCTACACTACAAAATTAGGTCGAATTTATAGAAGCCGGTTTTATAGAAATCAGTTGTATACAGCCGATTGTGTGTGTCCCCACATAAAATGCCCTAAGTGCATAAAGTCGGCGGACCGTGTCCACAGTACCGAGGCTAGCGTCGACTTCCGGAGCGTTGCACTGTGGGTAGCTATCCCACAGTTCCCGCAGTCTCCACCGCCCATTGGAATTCTGGGTTGAGATCCCAATGCCTGAATGATGCAAAACAGTGTCGCGGGGGGTTCTGGGTACGTGTCGTCAGGCACCTCCCCCTCTGTCAGAGCAACGGC